ACCTTATGAATCATTAATTCACATTATCGCCATTCTTTGTGATGTTCAAGATTCAGACGTTAAGATTCAATTTTTCATAGATGATGAGGTTTCATGCTGCGGAACAGTTGCAAAAATAAATCCTATAAAGGATATTAGCACAATTAAGATATCAAAGAACGGAACAACAACTGAACTTCATTTAACATATAATGATATTTATAATAAAATAGTTGATGAATATAAAATATCACTTGAAAAATTCTTTGTTAAGGCTATTTAATATTCAAGCATTAACATTATCGAATAATAATCCTTTGAATCATAATCAATAATAATTGACCTTTCACCAGTTTCTATCGTTTGTTTTATTTCTTTTTGTTCCCCACTATCTGGATCGGTCATTGTAATTGTTTTTGTTATAGTATCAGCTTTATCTTTAACTTCAATCTTTTTTCCATCGGGATATTTAAACCAAAATTCCAAAAATTCGATATTGTCAATCTGTTCATATTTTAATCTATCAATTACATTTTTAATACCATCTGAAAATCTTATGAAATGGTCATTATATGGGTTTGATTGAACTAAATTTGAATGAAGTGAAATATAACCTGTTGATGAATATGACATCGACTCATATTTTCTGAAAACACTAAAATTTATAACATGAATGAATTTCTTATTCGTTGAATTTATGAATTCTTGAGGTAATCTTATTCTAGTTTTATTTATCACTGGAAAATAACGCTTTACCATATTTTTAATCGTAATAAAAATGTCAATTATCAATATTATTTCGAATAATAGTTGTGAATTAAATTTAACAGTTAGCGGAATTTATAATGTTACTCTCGTTTCTGTGAGTGGTAAATTTAATCCCATTCTTTTAGACCCTTCAGATTATATATCATTTATTAAAGATGACCATGAAAAAACGTATGATATGTATATAAATAATGTGATAGCGAAATGGGATATTAACACGATTTTAAGTTATTTAAATGAATCATTTATCGTATGGTATGAAGAAAATTTTAAATCAAAACCTGATAAACTTTTTGAACTTGATGAAATAAATAACCTTATTAAATTCCCGCTGAAAATTAAATTTTGTACTCCTCATCTTCGTTCATTGTTGGGGATATTAAATTTTGAAAAAGATGTTGGGATGTTTTGTATTCTGACACTGGTTCCAATTTCATTTTAATCAAATGTGATAAAGTTAATACCCCAATGAGATTTTCACATCAAACATTAGACCCTAACTCTTACCCATCAATACAAAACATTTTATCCATCAACTTAAACACATTTTCTTTATCATATCCGTTTCAATTATCCGGGAATTCATTTATTCTTCATTCAAAAGATTTATCAAATATTAAATTTAGAATAACTGACCTATTTGATTGTGATTTAGAATTTATGAATGAAATATTATGGCAATTTCAAATAGAAAAAATAGCTGATGAGATAACGGATTAAATATTTATTTTTAAATCATAATAAATGATTAAACAACAGCAACCAAGCAACTTAAGGCGCAAAGCACCCAGGTCCTTCAACCATTACATACGCCATATATGCATATAATTCAAAGATGGCAGAACAAACGCAAAGGTTGAAATATGGAGATTTGGAGATAGTATTGAAAAATGACCTTTCGAATTCGTTTGCAAAGGTGGTGCAGTGATATCAAATATAAAAGAAATTTTATTTATGAATTCAAAAATTAAAGGAATAACGGATGATATAACATTAATTCCACCAGAAGAACAAAGATATTACGCATTAAATGCATTTCCTAAAGTTTTGAAGATTGGAAGATTTAATTTAAATGAGGAATTCATAAAAGGTTTCCTAAATGACATAATGAAGAAAGCAGATAAGGAATATGTGGATAGTGAGTTAAATAAGAAGGCAAATTTGGTTTATGTGGATGAAAAAGATAATGAAATTAAAGAAAAGGTTGAATGGTATCATGAATGGACATTGAGACTTTTAAAGTTAAAGCTGATACAGGATGGGTTTCAGGATGTTTAGACCTTAAAGCGGATAAAACTTATGTTAATGATGAGTTAATGAAGAAAGCAGATAAAGAACATACACATAACTTCTTCTCAACTGTTTCTATAGAAAATATTGAAGGAACGGTTGAGGGAACTGATGGGGATGCATTATATTATAAACCTCCTAACTTTCCACAAGGTTTAACATCGAATGAAAACATAACAACGAATAAAAAAATTAGCTGTAAAAATGTTTATGTCATGAGTAGTGAAAATAATGTTAAATTCACTGCTCAAGATTTATATGATAAGAAAGCAGACAAAACTTATGTTAGCGATGAGTTAGAGAAGAAGGCAGATAAGGAATATGTTAACGAAATATACCAAAGTTTGATAGGAACAACAAAAAATATTGAAACTATTGTTGGTAACTTTTCTGTCAATGAAGAAAATAAATATTTTAGATGGCAGTTTGTACAGTCCTTAAAAAATGGTACACGGTGTAAACTCATTCCGAAAAATAACAATGAAATGTATGTAAGCTATAAAAAGAAAATGGTACACAAGTTAAAGTTCCATTAGATACAACTGTTACTTAAACTATATGGAGACGAACAAAGAAATATTTAAGTTTATGAAATGGCAGATATGACATTGCCTACCCAGCTCCAGCACCATATTATTATGACTATGGAGATGACGACAGAACACCAATGTAGAGAAAAAAGCTAACATTATATTTAGTTATTATAGATATAAAAGATATAATGCAATAGAAAAAACGAGAATAGTATATTATTATACAGATGACAGAAATAAATATTATAGTCAAGATTTTACCTACCCTGAAACTAAGATTATATTATAAAAATATTCTGACACAACCAAAAGAACCTGAAATAGTTGCATTATATCTTAAGTTCAAAAGAGACAATCCTATAATATCTCATATGTTTGATTTAATGAACCCAGTAGGTTCTATTTATACATCTATGGATGCAAGAGGTCCTCAAGCAATGTTTGGTGTTGGTGCATGGGAACAAATAGTCGACAAGTTTTTGTATTGTGCAAACTCTTCAAAGGAAACAGGTGGAAGTAAAACGATTTCAGGTGAAAATTTACCTGCACACAGTCACTACATAGATTTAAGCACATCTCAAGCAGGTTGGCATAAGCATAGATATTGGGATTGGTCAGGAATGACAAAAGGTAAAGGATATTATGTTAAAGACGACGTTAAGTTTGCTATAAATTGTTACTGGAGTGACACTCAGGGAGAAGGAAACCATACACATTTCGTTTCAGGATATACACAAACAACAGGACAAAGTAAAGAATACATGCCACCTTACATGACGGTTTACGCATGGTATAGAGTTCAATGAACGCTCAATGTTTGTGAAACAAACTTTAGAACGGACTGAAAGTCCTGAGCTCCAAAAGAGCGAACGGCATAATTTAAATTTTTATTTTATCATAAATGAAGATTCTACCATATGGTGTTATTGGAAGAGATAAAGATGGAAACCCAATATTTGATCCGAAGTTAAAATTAAAGTTACTGACAAGACAACAACTTGAAAAGTTGCTGAAACCAAAACAGGATGAGAAAATAAAAATTTAAATTATGTAATTTTATTTTTATCATAAATGACAAAATTAATTAAGCCAACTATTTCTAAATTAATGATACCAATGAAATCATTTCGTGGAGTACTTATCCCAGGTTCTTCACAATTAGCTGGGGCAAGTGTTGTGACTCAAGGTGGAACATTAGCGAATCCATTCAAATTATTAACTAAAGATGAGCTTAATAAAATGATGACAAAATAACTGATAACAAAATTTTATTTCACTACTACCATGTTACCGGGTGCTACCATTTTGACAACAACACGAGAGGAAGGCAATAATGAATTATTTTTGAAGAACTGAAGGTGCTACCATGTTGTCATGTTGACGACATGACATTGTGTCAACAACACGAGAGGAAGGCAATAATGAATTATTTTTGAAGAACTGAAGGTGCTACCATGTTACCGGGTGCTACCATGTCAATTAATTTCTTTTAAAAATAGTGACAACATGACATTTTGACAACAACATAGGAAATTTGATGTAGCCCAAAAATAAAGTTAGTTTTAAAATTATTTTTATTTTTTTAATTAATATTAAATCAGAAATGTCAGTCGAAGCAAAAACATTTACGAACAAATCTAATGGCGAAACATTCACAAAAGGCACTTATAATGGTATTGAAGTCTTACGTAGAGACAAGGATGGTTACATTAATGCAACAAAGATGGCAAGAGAAGCGGGAAGGTTAAACCATTTAAACAGATTTCTCAATAGTACTAAAATGCGGGAAATTCTTGAGTTTTGGATGAACGAATACGGTCAAGCCAAAAGTGGCTCAACCTCAAAACAAGCATTTTATGAGCTTACTAAGGGCGTTATAAATGAATTCAAAGGTATTTACATACATCCTGACCTCGTTCATTTTGTTGCTGAATGGTGCTCAGTAAAGTATGCATTTTATGTCAAAGATATTATGGACTCCATAGACAAGAAAGTTCATGAGAAATTAGATGAAGAAGAACTCGAAGATACAGTAGAGAATGCAAAACCTTTGTTTGAAGAAGAAGTTAGAAAAATGTGTGAAAAACAATTAGAACATGAACATGAGATATGTTATGGTTATAGAGATTCTTCATACGAACTAGACCAATGGGAACAAGAAGATTTAAAGAGAGAATTTAGAGAATATGAACTCACTAAGATAGCATTTGAAGCTGCAGAAAAGAAGTTAAAAGTTTGGGGACGTTTTGTACAAAAATATTGTGAGTAAATGAACCATTTATTTTTATCATAAACAACCAAAAATATATTTTATCATTAATGGTTTCAGGTTATTCAATAATGAATTATTTTTGAAGAACTGAAGGTGCTACCATGTTACCATTTTGACAACAACACGAGAGGAAGGTAAAAATAAATTCGAATCATACTTTATAAAGCTTCATTTACAGGTATTTCATCATCAGTAAATGAATCCTCATTATCGTTTGGTTCAACCTGTTTATATAATCCTTTCATTTCTTCTTTCAAAACATAACACCATGTTTGTTTACCATCTATTCTTCTATGTTTCCTATCACATTTATCCTTAATACTCATTTGAAAATTCTTGTCTTTCATGTCTGATGGTTTGCAGAATAAAGCATTTTCACACATCATACCTGCACACAATTCATCATAATGTGTATTTATCCATACATCTAAAGGATTTGATGATAATTCAATTAAATCTTGTTTGGCTTCAGTCATCGGTATGATTCGTACATTAAATGATGAAAGGTCGTAATTGATAAAATACGTCAGTAAATTATCATAAAATTCCTTTGTGCATGAATCCATTAAATTCTTGAAGTAATCAAATTGACCCTTAAATTTACCATTAACCCTTAAAACTACATATCTTCTGTCTCCAACTTCAATTTTGACAGGGTAGACGTTATTAGTTACCAAAATGAAGTTCGCAACGTTTTGAGCGGTTCTTCTGGGTTGATTCTTTTCATTAATTCTAATCTCATTATCCGTTATAATTGATTTCAAAGCGTTGAAGTTTGCGAGTCTATCTTCACCTACATTCTTGAGTTCATTAAGTACAAGAAACATTTTATTTTCAACTACTGAGTTGAAATTACCCGTTAGCTCACCGATTTCAGTAATGTTTTTACATGAATAACCAGCGAGAAGTTCAGAAATAATGTCTGTAAATCTGTTTTTACCTGTTCCCTGAAGTCCTTTCAAAATAATTGCTGTTTCATTCTTGATTCCAGGATGTTGAATCATTGATGCAATCCACCCGAGTAGGTATTTATACACTTCTTCATTATTATCACAAATGGCTTCTTTAATGAAATTCATAAACATCTCAATTTTTGAGTAATCAGGCTTTTCGAGAACGTTGTATTTATAACCTTGAAACGTTGAGAAAACATCGGGGGAATCAGATTTAAAGCAAACACCCTTAACGGTTAATGAAGACAATTGATTTAGTAGTACATCCCATGCTGTTATTGTTTTACCTTCTTCTTTAAATAATTTAATCATTTTGAGTGACTCTTTCATGTTTGATTGAAGAACGAATGATATTTGATTCATTTTGTCGTGGATATTATAGTCCTTTTGAATGAAATATTTATTTCCACAATCTACAAAACGGATTACACGTGATAAATCCTCAATTACTTCAGAACTGTTTTTATACTGATGATTTTCAGCCTTGCGTCTAATATCTGTTATCAAAAACGAGTCGTCAAGTTTGATATCAAATGTTATTTTTGGCTTACGTAATAGAGGTAAAACATATTCATCATAATATTCCTTTTGATATAGTTTTAGAATCTTCACCAAAACAAATGGAGAAGTCATTAAATATGCATATCTACTACGTGCTTTTTCAAAATTACTTTTTGCATTTTCTGTTAAACTGCAGAAGTTATAAACGTTATCGTATGCTTCATTAATTAAATGATTAGGTAACGAATTAATTGCTTGAAACAGTGTGAATAATGTTATTTCTTTTTCTAAATTCATGTTTCCACCGTCATTATGTACTTCAAAATCACAGATGCCATCAACTATGCTCTGGGCAAGTTTATCGTCAATGTTTACATCTTTGTTTTCATTCATGATAGTCTTTATTTCTTCGTTCTTCTGTTCAACTTTTACCTTAATATTCAAATCATTTAATATATCATTCACTGTTCTGGTTAATGTTGAATCATAACTTCCACGAATGAATGAGTATGTATTGATTGATTCTGTTGCATTCTTGCGAACTCTTGAATCAGCCATAACTACTAATGAACGCTTTGAATCATCCATAGAAGTCATGATATCAATATCATAATCATTGCAGGAATAGCATTTAATCATTCTGTTCGAAACTGCATAGAAGAAATTAGTGTTGCAATAAATGTGAAGACCTCCAGAAGCGGTTTTAACTATAACATCTTTATCCGAAAGTTTTGATAAAATGTCTTTTCTAACCGTTTCTTTAAGTTCATCATTGTACGATTTATTGATATCGACATCTATAATCGTTAAATTTGGAATTTTATTTACTAATAAAGCCATACCAGTTTTCCTTCCTCTTCCTCCATCATGTTTGAGGTAGTTGTGTAAATCAATCATGTTTTCACCAATTCTTTCGTTGAGGGTTTTAGTTTCTGCCACAACTAATTCCTCAACTAATGAATCAATAACTTTTTCATCAGAAACGATATAGTTGCTGTTGTTGTTTGTTGCCGTCATTTATATAGGAATAAAAAAATAAAAATAATTTTAAAACTAACTTTATTTTTGGGCTACATCAAATTTCCTATGTTGTTGTCAAAATGTCATGTTGTCACTATTTTTAAAAGAAATTAATTGACATGGTAGCACCCGGTAACATGGTAGCACCTTCAGTTCTTCAAAAATAATTCATTATTGCCTTCCTCTCGTGTTGTTGACACAATGTCATGTCGTCAACATGACAACATGGTAGCACCTTCAGTTCTTCAAAAATAATTCATTATTGCCTTCCTCTCGTGTTGTTGTCAAAATGTCATGTTGTCACTATTTTTAAAAGAAATTAATTGACATGGTAGCACCCGGTAACATGGTAGCACCTTCAGTTCTTCAAAAATAATTCATTATTGCCTTCCTCTCGTGTTGTTGACACAATGTCATGTCGTCAACATGACAACATGGTAGCACCTTCAGTTCTTCAAAAATAATTCATTATTGCCTTCCTCTCGTGTTGTTGTCAAAATGTCATGTTGTCACTATTTTTAAAAGAAATTAATTGACATGGTAGCACCTTCAGTTCTTCAAAAATAATTCATTATTGAATAACCTGAAACCATTAATGATAAAATAACGATAACATCAAATTTTATTTTTATATGAATGAATACCCCACAAGCTCAAAATTTACCACGAATCATAACAAGGGAAGAAAGAAATAATCGAAAAATTAAAAACAACAAACCATGAAAAACAGAGAAGATGAGGAATAAAAATTAAATTTGGATTGAGTTTAAAAATTCATCTTTATTAAATTCATCTCTTCCAATCAATTTATTTATTCTATTAAATTCTTTTATTTTTGCTTCACTCAGTTTAAGGATTGAACGGTAAGTTTTTAATTTTTCGATTATTTCTTTCCTCTCTTGATCGTTTTCAACCCCACCACATTGCGGCTTCTTTTTGTAATAGCATATTTTTGATTTAATTCTGTTTAGTTTCTTTTTATATTCATCGTCTGGACTCTTGGCTGCTTCGTTGTCACTCATTTCTTACGAAATAAAAAAAAATTAAATATTATTTAAATATAATGGAGTAATAAAATAAATCGGAATTTCTATTAATTTATTGTTAACCTCAACTAATACATTACCGTTAATATATCTAACAAATTCAGCTATTGTGTCAAATCTTCGTCTTCTTTTTGTCATTGATTTATCAGTTTTTCCATAATCGAGATGAATCAAAACTTTATCCCCTTGTTTAAAATTCATGAGCCCCGAATTAATTTGTCCACGTTTAACATCATTTAACCTTTCCATTTGTTTTCTAATATATTCCCATTCTTTTGAAATATCATTTTTCATTTCCACTGGTTTCACGTTTATAGTTCTATGCCATGTATTATTGTAATAATATACTAACTGTTGTATGATGGAGTCATGATTTCCATCCCAGTATATCTGGCCGTTAACTCCTAACGCATCTCTAAGAGTTCTCATTACCGCATCAACTATTTTATTATGAAACGTATATGGAGAGGATGAAAAGTAAAAATTAATTTGTGGAAAATAATGAGCCATAGCTGCCTGAAATCCTTTATCACCATCACCCCTTATATTATCTACTCTTTCATGATCTAGTAAGTATTGTATAGCTCTTCTTGTTTCCTGTTCTGTTTTCCCTTTCACTGGAATGCAATATAAATATCTGGTGTTAATGTTAATGGCAAATAAATAAGTAACGTTTCCTTTTGAATATTCTAAATGATCGATTTCGTATGAATATGGATATGGTGCAAATGAGGGGCGACCAAATTTTTCCTTTAACGGTTGAATTTTCGGGTCAATTGGTTTATTTAATATCTTGAAATCCTTTTTAAAATCTTTTTGCTTCTTTAATGTTTGAAATGGATATAATAAAGTGAATGATGAAGGATTAACTGAAGGAGGAGGAGGTACTACTGTTGGAGGTTTTGGTGTTGCTAGTGATTTAATTTTATCTGCTTTGATTTTGGAATTCATTCCTCCTTTCATTAATTCTGGATGTATTCTATTCATTTGTTTTAAATATACTGTATATAAAGGTTTGATATACTTTCCCGCTTCGAGTTTATGTTGAAGGATGAATTCCAAAAGTTGATCTTCATTTAAAAGTCGGGCTGAATATGGTTTAACTAATGAATCATAAATTAAAGCTTGTGCATCATTTATGGTCTGAATGACCTGAGCGTTTTGCACTTTTGTTTTTTGCGGCTCAGGATTATATAAATTATATAATTCATCAATATCTTCTTCTGTTAATACTTTATTTTTGAAAACTTTCAATTGTTTAAGTTGTGATTTAGTTTTTCCCTTTGCATATTCATTATTTTTAATTTTGTCTTTAATTTTAGAAATTATTTTATCATGATATTTCAAAATTTCATTTTTATAATAATGATAAAAAAAAAAAAAAAAAAGGTAGTGGGGCCTCCAGGCACTTCGTGCCCTCTAGCCCTGAAGATGTTTAGTATAATGAAGTTTTTTTTTTCTTGGGATGGCCTTCCAGGCACTTCGTGCCCTCTAGCCCATAAAAAGTTTTTGAGGACGAGCCAGCCGTTGACTTTTTTGTAGAGCACTCAAAATAGTATAACTTTGTCCGGACAAGTAAGGGTCTATCGTCGCTACAGGAAAAGTTACGGGCGTTCCAAGGAAGTATACTTTGAGAAGCCTTTTCTCCATTTTAAAACAAGATAGGACGGTTATTTTACAAAACTAGCAACACGTTGACCGAGTAGTTTTTTGTGCTGAACAAATAGTGTCATATAAACATCTGTCAAAAACCGTTTTTTACTTCACTTAAAATGCCACGTAAGCTACGTAAGAATATACGTAAGAGGAAGAGAGCATTGAAACATCCAATAGTAAAACTGACACCACAACAACAGTTGCAACAACAAATGATGAATGACCCCACTATGTTGCAACAAATGTCAAGCAACCCTATGCTTTTAAACCGAGTTATTGGTGCACAGAGTGGAGGTTTAAGAGCGGCACTTTTAGCGAAAATGGCAGGCTATGGTGGAGCTGCAGACGGAACAGCTTATAACCCTCAAAGTCAAATGAATTTGAGTTCACTCAAAAATCAAATAACAGATGTCAAAAAGTCAAACATAGACATACAGAAACAAATAAGTGAAAACGAAAAGAAACTAGAATATGACAGACACACAAAGAAACTCAATGAGTTAAACGTAGAGAAAAAGAAGAAAGAAGAACAACTGAAAGAACTAAGTACAGAGGAATATGCGAAAAAAGTGTCAGAAAAAGCAGCAGAAGTAGCAAAAATGGAACAAGATGTTATAAATTTGAAAAACCATACTACTCAATATAAAGTACTGAAAGATGAAGAAATAAAACAAAAAGCCCTGAAGACATATATGGATAGCGATGAGTATAAAAAAGAAGTTGAAGCAAATGTAAAGGCAGAAAAACTTTTACAGTTGCAAAACCAAACCGTACAGTATGAAAACTTAGCACAAGAAAGTAAAAATAACGACGCAGCCATGCAAAAGGCAATGAAAAGCTCAGAATATATAAAAGCTAATAATGACTGGTTAGATGCCCAAGCCAACGCTAAAGCAGCCCAACTTATAGGGTCAATAAGGACAAAAATACAAGCGGATGAAGACAGTTCAAATGAAGCTTTAATGAATGCTGACTTTAAGAACGCCTTCGAAGCTCTTCATAGTAAGGTGAAACTAGTGAACGACTTCTCATCTGGAAAGAAACTGAAGTCTGAAGGTTTCGACAACGAGTTAAGAGAAGTAGCACAAAATATGACGAAAATAACAGATGCAGCAACGAGACAGGCAGTTCAAAGTGCCTATGACGCCGTTAGAGCAACTGTTGTGGAAAGTCAAGAAAAAGAGTTACAACAGACCAAAACAGACCTAGTAAATGCTTTCTTAAAAACGAAAAGTCAGGTAGGACATTATGCTGCAGATGGAACATATGTGCCAGCTGGTGGAACTTATATACCAGCTGGTGGAACTTATATACTAGCTGGTGGAACTTATATACCACCAAACCCTCCAAGAGAAGCACCTGCACCAGGACTACCTAAAACATTTACATCGTCACATGGACACAGACACAGGCATGCACCAAAACAACAACCAACAGTTCAAAATCCAGCACAACAACAACCACAACCAGCACAACAACCAACAGTTCAAAACCCTGCACAACAACCAACAGTTCAAAACACTGCACCACAACCAACAGTTCAAAACACTGCACCACAACAACCACAAACAGAGCAAGGACATAAAAGAAGTAGAGAACAAGGAAACCAAGAATTCTTAAAAATGCTTAAGGAAGACTATGGTTACCCAGATACTCTTGACTTTAGTGACAGATATAAAGAAGCTATTAGAAAGTTCAAGGAAGGAAATACTGACCCGAACCTATTTAGCTTTATGGTTCAGCACCAAATGGGATATAATTTCAAACCTGGAAAATACAAGCTCGCTAAGGGATATGATTTAATAGCATATCATCCAAATGACATGACTGAATTTACTCCGAGATATTTGGTGTCAGAGCTAAATGATAATTCAACTCTCTTCATGAAACGCGTAAAAAATAGAGACGGAACGAAAGAAGAAAGGTTTATGAGTCCGGATGACTTAGATAGGGAACTTTTTAAAAACGGTCTCGGAATATATGAAATGCCAGCAGATGAGGTACAAGAAACTCCACAGGAAGAAGTTCAGATAGAACCAGACATGGAAGAAATAGTTCAGCAACAACAGCTAGAAGAGCCTGAAGGAAACGAACAAGTCCCTCCTTTGGAAACTACAGAAATAAATGACGCAAGACTGAAACATTGGGTAAAAGCTTTCCCATTCACAAAAGATATTGTTGGTAACATGGAAAGAAAACCAGAATGGCTACAAAAACATATATTTGGAAACGAGCTTATTCCATATGGACAAGCTCTGTTTGAAGAGCTTGAACCGGAAACTCAGGAAAGAGTCATGCAAACAATACGCGAAGACTCAAATACAAACTATGACAAAATCTTTCTAGGATATAGGTTACCTGAGATGGGCGACCAGAGCCCAAAGGCAAAAGGACATGGGAAATTTACAACATACTAGGTGAACATGAGGCAAAGATGCAACAACTTGAAGCAGAGGGCAAGTTACCAAAAGCGACACCAAAGAAGAAGAGTAGAACAAAGTGAAAATAGTGAAGAAGTAACTTCATCTAGTGAAAGTAGTGGCAATGAAGGAAAAAGAAGAGTTAAAAACTCAGTCAGGAAGAAAGTAAAGCTTGGTCCGAAACAATTATGACAAATAAATCCAACTATTCTATATTTTTACCCATATGAAATGTACGCCGCTCAGAATATAACGCCAACAGTTTTGGATGCCATGAACGGAAATGTTTCCGAATGGTATAACGAATGCGACAATGCCATTAGAAGGTCAGAAATAGTTCCTGGAACTTACGAATATACAACTGCTGTTTCTTATGGAAACGTAGGTGAGTTTGGAGAAGGTTCTTCAACAACAGTAGATATTGCTTGCGACAGGTTTCATATTATTTCTATTGACAACTCATTCTTATACGTGGAACAAGACATTGAAAAAAACCTTCTGCCAAGTTGTCTGACAAGAAAGGTTGCAATGGAATTTTCTATGTCGGATACCAATATGCTCCAGAAGTTTTCATGGGATATAAGATATATTCTAACTCTGACTTAGTTCAAACAGTAACATGGGCAAACTATGAATGGTTCGCTTTGAGAAACTCAGTACAACCACAAGCTAGAGAACAAACAGACCAGTATGCAAATATTGAGAAAATAAGAAGACTTGACCCTAACGTTCCAGGAGTTTATGTTAACCTTTCTGGTTCAGATGGAACTGCTGCCACTAAAGTAAAACTGAAACTTAGAGTTCCTTTGTCATCTTTCCTCATCTTCAGGTTTTTAGATACTTGCCAAACTGGGCAGGAAAATTTCTATCGAACTTACTCCAAGCAAAAATAACTTAGTCATTGCACCAACACAAGACCCATTCAGCATTACTGTAGCTGGAACTGGTGGAGCCAAGTTCTGTGACTTTTGCAAAGACAAAGTTGACTTAGACTTTGGTTTCTCAAACTTCAACAATGAAGTAAACTATTATTTCAATGCTGCTGGAACTGCTTGGGACCCAGTTAAGTTCACATGCGAAAAATTTGAATGCAAGAGAATAGAAAGCAGACTTGCAGTCTATATGTTGGACCCAGATATTTCAAATGCTTTAGCTGCCAAATATATTGCAGTTCCACTTATGTTCCCTATACACCAAATATCTGTCAAAGACTTTGCAGGTGAAGTTGGAAACCAAAGTGCTGACCCAGGTGCAAGAACAGATATTGCTTTAACAACTGCAATGAAACATGCAGATACTATGTTTGTACTGTTCAGACGAACTATAAATGACTATTCTTGTTTCTACAACCCCGGTATTAAATATCATATAAACATAGATGGCAAATATTATCCAAGAGAAGAATATTCTACAGTTGAGGATATGAGGTCATACAACTTGACATTAGATGCTATGAACTTTAACAACAACTTCACAACAACCATTAACCCTGAAATGCAAAGTTCTATTATGCCATATGTGAAAGTATGGACTCATACAGGAGGTCAAAAAACTCAATATACAAATGGAGACCGTTCAAACTTTTGGCTTGGCATTCCATTTGCTGACTCAGAAGACTTTATGGGTGGTATTTCAACTGTTGGTACTGTACAAATACAATATACTGGTGACAGAGACGGTCCAGATGAATTGAAAGCAAAGAAGTTTACAAAACCAATAGCACTTTTCACGGAAGATGCTCTTTTGAAGATTCGTTCGATGAAACCTGCTGGGGCTCCTCAGATTGGCATAACGACAGCTTCCATCGAGCAGATTTTGGCAGCAGGTCAGTAAGTTGTTCTTGAACTGACTTCTCTCCGTCAAATATTGACAGTACGCCAGTTTTGACATAATATTGTATTATAAACTTACCTTTAGAAATATCTGTAAGTTTTGTTGTTATATTTTTGTCAACGTCAAGAACTTTCACCATTTCAGTTATACCAACTTTCTTTGCTTTATGGAAATATTTTGGTTCAGCAAATATTGCTATTCTATAACATTTACCATTGTTTGTATAAAGAACTATTCTGTCAATGTATTTGTATTGTTTGTGTGTGTAAACTTTGTTCTGCTTCAATTCGAAGAGATACTCGAATACGTCCATCTTTTTATTCTAAGTAAAATGTCATTTCCGAAAAATAGAAGCATAAGTGTTTCAAAAGGTTTAATGGCGGTGGCAGATGTGAAGTTAAATTCACCAACTCAAACAAACAGTCAAAGTGTTATTGTCAATGTCAAAGACAGAGATGTTGAAGTGGGGAAACCATACGAAGACAAAGATGGTATAACAATTGTTCCTGTAAAAGAACAACCAACATATCCTGAAGTTAGCAGAGACTTAAGTTCTGTTGCAGATATTCGAAACGACTACCAACAACTTAAAGACAAAACTTCAAACTCAGGAGAAGATTTGTCAAGCTTTAGGTATAATGTTAAACTTGGTCGAACACAACCCTGTAAAAGTGAACTCATATGTCATTGCACCTCATGAAGTTTTGAAAGAACTATTGAAACTTTTGACAGAGGCAGACGATATAAACATCAAAGAAATAGAACCCGACATTAGTTGCTGTGGTGTTTCATATAATGTCATTGACAAGATATACGTTATGAAAGGAGGTGAAACGTTGAACTTAAAGTATAGTTTCCCAGACGTCATAAAAATATTTGACGACCACAACATTTCATTAAAAATTTATTTGCTAAGTAAAAATGTCAAAACTTCTTGAAAGATGTTTGAAGAAAAATAATATAGACTTTATTTCATGTAAAGGACTTTACACACTTTTGAACGATATGAAAGACCCTGTTTTGTTTGTTCGTGTAGACAAAGGAAAGTTCTATGTCTTTACAAAATATTTGAACTTCTTAGACAGAGAACTTCAAAGAAACGCCATGTGAAAGTTTAGATGAAGTTCTTCTCCACTTTCAGAAAAACTTTTAAATATATATAAATGGCAGAAGATATAATGGTTTATACTATTACGACTAAAAACCCTGAGTCATATAATTCTATAACAACAAACTTACAAAGTCCTCAAGGACGATATTGTAAACTAACCTTAAACACAATGACGACTAAAGCCTGTTTTGCTCTTTTGACACCAGAAGACTTTATTGTTGTGAATGGTAAAAAATACTCCTTTGAAGATACTTACTCAGATATACACCAACAGGTTTTGTTGACTTATTTAATACTTTAAGTACGGGTGTAACATGTGCTGCAACTAGAGCAGGTTTCATTATGTTTGGATGTCCGACTGAGTTTACTATAAACGATATGAGCTATAATACAAAACTTATTTCTGGTTTTTACTACCAACAGTTTCCTATAACAGGAAAAGGTGTCATACAAGGAATGTCTATTCCATTGACATTAAGCACACCAATCTTATATATTGTTTCAAACTTAGGTTCAAAGTGTTATTCGAATGTCGACAGAAACTATTATGACCAAAAGATACTTATGCGTATAAACAATACTTTCTCTGCTGGTTTGCCTATTGTTCATTCGAATGCAGAATTTTCAACCTTAGTGAACTCAAACACTTTGGCAAGTATAACGTTGACATTAGTTGACGCAAACTTTGTTCCTGTAAAACTTTTATGTCCTATGTATTTGTCAATGACGGCAGAAAGTTTCGAATTGGAAGATGCAACTGGTGAAAGTATTGTATTACAAGAACAACTTCAACAACAAATAGCTCAAGAACAACAAATGCAACAAATGGAACAAATGCAACAACAAAGTCAAGAATAAAAAAAATATTTTTTTATTTTTATAAAAATGTACAGAATAGATGTTTCAGATTTTTATGACTTCCAAGCATTCAGAAATATGTGTCCATTTCGAGACTATAACAAAGCAGTCGAGAATTTGAAACGTTTAGTCATTTATGTCGACTCTGCCCCAGAATGTTATGTCATGAAAGAATGGGATGTTGTCTTTAACAAACCAAGAGCAACAATAGTGTCTGAACAAGAATGTAGACAGAAACTTAAGAAAATAAAAGTTGTACAAGTTGGCATGAAGATGTTAGATGCTTGGGATATCTTATTGTCAAAGTTAGAAGATTTTTCAGTTCGAGGTATAAAGTTCTATACACCTTCTCCAAACTTCTATTCTATCTTCACTGGATATAAATACGAACAAGTAGAATGGAAAGAAAATATTATAGAAGCTTGGTTAGACCATGTCAAAGAAATTATATGCAATGGAAACGAAAGAGTCTATGAGTATATCTTATGTTGGTTTGCAAACATCTTACAACATCCAAGTGCTAAAAATGAAACTGCTCTCATTATAATTGGAAAACAAGGAACTGGTAAGAATACTTTCTTTACAGATATCTTGTGCAAACTGTTAGAAGGTTATTCGAATCCGAATATGACAAACTTAGAAAACATCTGCGGTAAATTTAACTCTTCTATTGAGAATATGAAACTTATAGTTTGCAATGAACTTCAAAGTATAGATACAACAAAAGTTTTGAACTCAGATGCTTTGAAGAGTCTTATAACAGACAAAGTTGGAGTTGTTGAAAGAAAGTATAAAGACCAAAGAGTTTGTGAAAATGTTGCAAACTTCATTATGGTTTCAAACAATGCTGTTCCGATGAAGTTAGAAAGTTCTGACAGAAGATATGTAGTTGTCAGAACGTCAGATTCTCATATGCAAGATACAGAATATTTTGACGACTTAGCAGAAACTTTGACATCTGACTTTTACAACCACTTGTTCTCATATTTCATGACATTAGATATTTCTAAGTTCATCCAAGACAAATTCCACATACCGAAGAGAGACAAACATTGTTAGAAGCAAACAAGAGTGTATATGAACTTTCATAGATGAAACTGACTTTGAGTGTTTAGATGAAAGGTCATTGTACGATTCGTATAAACAATATTTCAAGGAATATGGTTATATGACAGATTCTAAACGAACATTCTTGGCAAATGTCAAAAGTCTTTTAGACGTACAGAATGGTGTATATACAAAGAAAAATTTTTCTGAGTAAATTTTAAAAAAAATATTTTTTTATCCGATAGAAAAGATGACAAAATTCATCTCAGTAAACAAGTACATGTCAGGACTTAAAGAAGAACTAGACCCATTCACATATTTGAATGTTTACTTCTACCATTTTGAAAAGTTTCATTCAGCAAAGTTTGGAACATCGAACCAGTTAAGTTTGCTATTGTGACTAAAAATGGTGCGAAATTTGAAGACTTAGAGATAGAAGGTTTGTTAGCAGTCAAAGAAAGTTTTGACAAGGTTTTCAAACCTTAAGAAGGCAAAGCATACAAACTTGTTATACCTTATGAACCAAAGAAAAGCAGACGACTATGAATATTATGAGTCTAAGATAGTTGAAGTTCAAGGTAAATTGGGTAAAAAGATTTAGAGTCTAAGCCAGTGTTTGCTCCTAAAGAGGAAGAGAACATTGACATTGACCCAGAAATGTTCTAAAAATAAAATTTATTTTTTACATGTCAAATTTCTTTTTCTCTGGAACTGGTTCAGGTTCTTTCTTCTCTTCTTTTCTACTTTCTTTTCTTTCTTTTCTTTCTTCTTCTTTTCTGGTGGAGTTATGTCAAATTTCTCCGAACCATATTTATGTAAAAGTTCTTTGTCCTTTAATAGCTCATCTATTCTGTTTTCTATTTCATCTTCAAGAACAGCGCATGTGTCTTCTTTGCATTCTAAGAACTTTTGTTGGACTTCATCTTTCCAATCGGTGTCATCTCTGTCAACAAGTCTGTCATTGACAAATTTTAAGACTGCTCTGCTTAATGTTTTATGGTTCTTGTCATATTCCCAGAAACAGAACTTTAGAACAAATTCACCTTTCTTGTTTACACTATGTAAGATTTTATGGTCGACAGATGTTTTTGCTGTCGAAAAGTTTGTCTCGAATATAGATAGCGAAATCGCTAGACATTTTCTAAAAGATAAAATTTTAATTTTCTAAAAATATGTTAGAAAAAAAGTTTGCTGACATTGACAAGAAATTTGAGAATGTTTTAAACAAGAACAAGAGGAAGTTAGAAAATGCTCAGATAAAAACCTATACATGACAAGTTCTTATTTGCTCAGAATGGTATAACAGGTCTAATTGCACCACCTGGGTCGGGTAAGACTTTCACTTATCTTAAAATGGCTGCACACAACAAGAACTAGATGAGAGAAACCCATTCTATGAGTTGTTGTTATTTGTAGTACTTCTGGTCAATTTGACCAAACCGTCAATTCGTTCAAAGATATTATAAAGAAGTCTAAGTTAGTATGTATAAAGGATACTGAGTTGTTAGATTGGATAAAGAAGTACCAAAGAAGAGTTTTGAAGTACAATGCTATAAATGAGTATATAAATTCTAAGTTTAAAGACCCAAATGAGGAAATGCAGAGAAATTAGAGAAGAAACACTTCAGAAACAAACAGAAAGAGATAGAATACATTTCGAAGAAATTGCAATCTTACGATTGGAAGACATACCCTCATAGATGTCTTCTTATCTTAGATGATTTCGCCTCTCATCCTTTGTTAAAGAACAGAGAACAAGATATGTGTCGAATTCTTAAGAAGCTCAGACACTTTAACATCTCAGTTGTCATTTGTGTACAGACAGCAAAGAGTTTAAGTAAGGATGTTAAAAGAATACTTACTGACATTATACTTTTCCCCGGATTGTCCGAAGACGATTTCATGGAACTTATGAAAGAGTCCATGGCAGGTAAGTTTGACAGATATGAACTATGGGAGAAGTACAAAGTCATACAAGACCCTCATACTTCTTTCAGAATTCATATCTACGCAAACAAAGTTCAAATTGTAAAAAGTCAAGCTTGAAAAATGTAAGTGTTTAGTCTTAGTAAGTCTGTTGTGGTGCTGGGGCTGTCGGTTCTTCTGGTTTGGGAAGGCATTCAGGAAGAGAAACGTCAGTCATCCGTTTGTGTCCTGTCGGAAGGAAAAACTTTTCCTGTTGGAAGGAAAAACTTTTCCTGTTGGAAGGAAAAACTTTTTCTGAAGTTCGACCAAAAAGTTCTCAATTTTCGAAAATTTGAATGGTTTACGGACGGACAACTGGAAGCGTTCTTCCTGTCGTCGGGAAAAATTTTTTCTGTCGGAAGGAAAAACTTTTTCTGTCGGAAGGAAAAACTTTTTCTGTCGGAAGGAAGGACTCGGAATGCCAGAAGGATTTGACAAGGCAATTTACCTTATAGAGCTACTTGAGCCATCTGAAGTCAAGCTTGAAAAATAAATGGTTCATCTACTCTACTTGTTTGAAGTTGTCAAAATACTCTGTTATTTTTTCCTTTAACAATGGCAAATCTTCTTTGAAGGTAAGTATTGTACAACCTTTAATATCATAGTGTGTTTGAGGTAAAGTATCTTGAACTATTTGTTTCACATCTTCATTTGGGGTCATTGAAATCGGTAAGTTTTCGCGATAGAACCAATTTCTGTCAGATTTGTAAATCTTAGCAAGGTCGTAAAAGCTTTTGTTGTTTCTTCTGACTAAATGCAACATAACCATATCTTTATCTTCTTCATTTTCCATCTCTTCAGTATAAATCATATACTTATAGTTCTTTTCCTTTCCTTTTGGTACCGAACGTGGTATTCTTTTCTGAATGCTTTTGTCTTTTGCTTCAAGCTTGTTCTCTAGCTCTTCACGTTCTTGTCTATGAATTTCATCTAACATCATGAAAATATAACAAGCGTAACGAGGTGAAGCCCACATTGCAACAGCATTTACAAGAAGTCTATGTACATACCAGCCTCTCAAACCAGGAGCCAAATTTTTACGATTTTCGTACGGAATCTCGACCCGCAGTTTTCCTCGGGTCGCAAACATATGAGGAAATTCTTCTAAAAGTTCTTTTGTCTGTTGGTTTTCAAACCAATGATGTGCTTGCTTTGTAGAACGAAGAGCATTCAAAATACTTTGCATTTGGTACATATCGTCTTTGACTGAACGAATGAGACGTAACTGTTTGTTATACTGTATGTACTCATATTCTTCATTTATGGCTTCATGAACGATAGCAGTTGTTGTGTTCTCTAATGTTGACATATCTGTCTTTACATACAAAATAAAAAAATATTTTATAAAAAATTAGCGTTATTTTTTCTATCTTAAGGAAATTCACTGTTTTCATGAGTTTTATGCAAGACCGAAAAAAGTCGGTCTAGAGAAATTTCACTGTTTTCATAGAGTTTTGGCGACTACGTTTTCTTACGTACTCGCTGTTCTTCATGATTTTCATACGGAATCTCTTCTCTCGGTTCTCCGAGGGTAGCAAGCATATGCCATTTTACTCAGATTTTTGGTCATTTTTCAGCAAAAATATATTTTAGGGTAGAAGGTTAGATCTAACACGTTTTCTACCCTCGTGAATTTTCATGATTTCTTCGTAAATGTTTTGTCAAACATGAACGTATATGTTTTGTCAAACATGAACGTATATGTTTTGTCAAGACTTCTTCGTAAATGTTTTGTCAAACATGAACGTACATGTTTTGTCAAAACTTCTTCGTAAATGTTTTGTCATGACTTCTTCGTACATGCTTTGTCAAGACTTCTTCATCGTAATGAGCGTAAATGTTTTGTCAAGACTTCTTCATCGTAATGAGCGTAAGATATGAAGAGGTGCGATCTCACCTGTTTTTTCACCTGTTTTCTCACATGGTCTAAAACATACAAAACTCATGAAATTTGTGCTGAATTCAGCAAAAATAATGTTTAGGGTAGAAGGTTAGATCTAACCTCCTTTCTAACCTGTTTTTTTCACAAGCGTTTTACATGGTAAGCGTTATTTTTTGACGAAGTGAACATTGACACTTCGTCAAAAAAATCCCTGAAATCATATCTTACATACAAAATAAAAAAATAAAATGACACTTTTTCATTAGATAACTGTTATTTTTTGACGAAGTGAACATTGACACTTCGTCAAAAAAATCCCTGAAATCATATCTTACATACAAAATAAAAAAATAAAATGACACTTTTTCATTAGATAACTGTTATTTTTTGACGAAGTGAACATTGACACTTCGTCAAAAAAATCCCTGAAATCATATCTTACATACAAAATAAAAAAATAAAATGACACTTTTTCATTAGATAACTGTTATTTTTTGACGAAGTGAACATTGACACTTCGTCAAAAAAATCCCTGAAATCATATCTTACATACAAATAAAAAATAAAACTAACTTTATTTTCTGACTTTCACAAAAGACCAAAAATAAACGCTTGTGAGAAAACAGGTGAAAAAACAGGTGAGATCGCACCACTTCACCTAAACATTATTTTTGCTGAATTCAGCACAAATATAATTTAGGGTAGAAGGTTAGATCTAACCTCTTTTCTACCCCAGTTATTTCACAACCGTTTTACATGGTAAGCGTTATTTTTTGACGAAGTGAACATTGACACTTCGTCAAAAAAATCCCTGAAATCATATCTTACATACAAAATAAAAAAATAAAATGACACTTTTTCATTAGATAACTGTTATTTTTTGACGAAGTGAACATTGACACTTCGTCAAAAAAATCCCTGAAATCATATCTTACATACAAAATAAAAAAATATTTTATAAAAAATTAGCGTTATTTTCTGACTTTCACAAAAGACCAAAAATAAACGCTTTACATGTATTTTTCAGCAACTTCGTCAAATAATTTTATAGCTTTATCTATCTCATCTACTTCAAACGTTTCTTTACCTTTTATGGGAGCACCATACATTTTCTCAAACTTTTCAAGTAGTTCTGTTTCTGCAGCTCTCATATCGTTAACGAACACAACTTTGACTATATTGACTGTACTGTCATATCTTTGAGTTATATTATATGTTCTTCCTATCTTATATCTCTTTGTATTGAAGTCCTTCGGTTTCTGAACGATGTAAAGTAAGCCTTCACTGCAACGTTCCGTATCGAATGAACCATATGTTATGAAGTTATATCCAACAACTGGGTCTAACCATAACAAAACTATTGGTATAAGACTTTTGTCTATAAGATATGCTGCAGTTCCATAGAATCTTACCGATATCATAAGCTCAGGATTTCTTGTCAAAATTTTCTGAGTAGAAGCATTTCTAACCCAGTCGTGTGTTTTCTTTTCAGATGGAGATATAATGTCTGACAAAGAATATTTGTTGTATTTCTTTGAGTATCTTACGTTTAAATCACCTATTCTAACCACTTTGGTGTCATTGTCTATCTTTCTAACTGTTTCAAACTCAATGTTTGTCATTTCTGTTCTTACATACAAAATAAAAAAAATATTTTACAAAAAACTAACTTTATTTTTTCTATCTTGTATAAAAGATATGATTTCAGGGATTTTTTTTACGAAGTGCAAAAGTTCTCTTCGTAAAAAAATAACAGTTATATAATGAAATTTGGTCATTTTTTCACGATTTTCATGAGTTTTAGGCGACCAGGTTTTTTTCCCTACTCGCAATTTTTTACGATTTTCGTACGGAATCTCTACCCGCGGTTTTCCTCGGGTAGCAAACATATGAGGAAATTCATGAAATTTGGTCATTTTTTCACGATTTTCATGAGTTTTATGCTAGACCGAAAAAAGTCGGTCTAGAGAAATTTCACTCAAAAGTTCTTGTGTGCTTTGGTTTTTGAACCAATGTCTGTATGTTTGGTTTCTGAACGATGTAAAGTAAGCCTTCACTGCAACTGCATTTACTAATAGTCTATGTACATACCAACCTCTTAAATTTATTGGCAATTTTTTACGATTTTCGTACGGAATCTCTACCCTCGGTTTTCCTCGGGTAGCAAACATATGAGGAAATTCATGAAATTTGGTCATTTTTTTCAGCAAAAATAATGTTTATGTTAGCATGTTAGATCTAACCTCTTTTCTAACATGGTCTAAAACACACAAAACTCATGAAATTTCATACGGAATTCAGCAAAAATAAAGTTTAGGTGAAGTGGTGCGATCTCACCTCTTTTTTCACCTGTTTTCTCACAAGCGTTTTACATGAATTGTACGATGTATATTTGAAATCCTAAACAGTTTTGTAGCCTCTATTTCTTCTTTTAGTACATCGAATGTTTTAACAATGCCGAAAGTTTCTTTATACTTCTTCTTGACGTCAGATAGAAGGAAATCTTCTGCTGTTGGATAGTTTTTGTTCAGAAATGTCAACATGTCCATTTTATCTTCTGCTGGTTTCTCTGCTTCTTTCTTTAAGTCTGCATAGTCGTTTCTCATACGTTCTATCTCTTTGACGGAGTAGTTATATCTCCTCATTGCTGCTTTACATTTAGAACATTGCGGGTTCATTTTTGCGTTATATTCTGAAACCTTACCTGCTAAAACAACTAAAGCGTCAATTGCTCTCTTCATCTCAAAAGCTGCTGGTTTTATCTGTTTGTTCCATACCTTACCTCTTCTATCTTTATCTCTTATCTGCCATACACATTCAGCAACTAACGAAACAAAGTTGTCGTAGGTCTTAAATTCTTCAGATTTATATATGTCAGAGATGTTCTTATATACCATGTCGCAATCTTTGTCCATAACTTTATGGTTGCAATGAAATCCTAGAAACTCATAGTTTACCTTTCGTATGAACTTCTTTATTTCTACTGAGTCAGTTGCTTTGACTTCAATTTCATCGAATTCAGGAATGGTTAGTTTTTGTTGCTGAATTTCAGGCAATTTGGGTAAATGGTCGATGAGGTCCTGCATTTCATAAAGATATTCTTCATTTTCTTCATCTTTCGCACTACAGTCTAAATTACTTGTTAAAAGTTCTTGCTTTATCTTCTGGATTTTTGTTTCGAAAGTATATGAAGAAGGAATGAAGCTTTTCATCTCTACTAACATTGACGTAGGATTCATGACTAACGAGTTAGGTGCTGTTGTTGTTTGAACTGTTGTTGTGCCGATTGTTGACATTTTTATTTTTTTATACAAAATAAAAAAAATAAAAAAAATAAAACTAACTTTATTTTTTATTTCGGGAAAATTCATGAAAATTCAAGAGGTGAAAAAACAGGTGAAAAAAGAGGTGAGATCGCACCACTTCACCTAAACTTTATTTTTGGGTCCTTTACGCTCATTACGATGAAGAAGTCATGACAAAACATTTACGAAGAAGTCATGACAAAACATTTACGAAGAAGTTTTGACAAAACATTTACGATGAAATCATGACAAAACATTTACGTTCATGTTTGACAAAACATTTACGAAGAAGTCATGACACTTTTTCATTAGATAACTGTTATTTTTTGACGAAGTGAACATTGACACTTCGTCAAAAAAATCCCTGAAATCATATCTTACATACAAAATAAAAAAATAAAATGACACTTTTTCATTAGATAACTGTTATTTTTTGACGAAGTGAACATTGACACTTCGTCAAAAAAATCCCTGAAATCATGTCTTTACATACAAAAAAATGAAAAATAAAACTAACTTTATTTTTTATTTCGGGAAAATTCATGAAAATTCATGACAAATTCAAGAGGTTAGATCTAACATTCTAACATAAACTTTATTTTTGCTGAATTCAGCAACAAAATGAACGAGGTCAGGATGTATGCAAATACCTTTGAATTCATTCATAACACCCTTTGTAAGCTCATAAAATGCTTGTTTTGAGGTCGAGCCACTTTTGGCTCCACCGTATTCTTTCAACCAAAACTCAAGAATTTCCCGCATGAATTTTGTATAAAAACCAACCGTCTGTATTCCGACGGTTGCTATATTCTTCACAAAACATTTACGCTCATTACGATGAAGAAGTCATGACAAAACATTTACGAAGAAGTCATGACAAAACATTTACGAAGAAGTCATGACAAAACATTTACGAAGAAGTCATGACAAAACATTCATGAAAATTCATGAAAATTCAAGAGGGTAGAAAAGAGGTTAGATCTAACCTTCTACCCTAAACTTTATTTTTTGGTCCGGGAACAACTTTCTCTCAATTGGAGCTGTAGCATACTCTTTGCGTAAGCGGTTCAGACCTTCCTCGAACTCTTGGGCTCTCTTCGATTGGGATTGGAATTGTGGGGCAGGGTTTTGCATAAACATCCAAGGGTTGGGGAAGTAAGGCATAGGCTGAGGAGGGTAGTTCGGGAAGCCTTGTGGTGGGTAGTAACCTTGAGGTGGAAATTGGTAGTAAATCGGAGGTACTTGCTGGAACTGAGGTGCAGGGGCTGGTGCTTTAGGTTCCTCTGGTTTGGGAATGGACTGGGTTGGTGGTACGTCGGACATTGTCTTGAAACAGTACAAATATTGTTCTGAAGCAGTGCAAGTCTTGTTCTGAAAAAGTACAAGTATTGTTCTGAAGCAGTGCAAGTATTGTTCTGAAAAAGTACAAGTATTGTTCTGAAGCAGTACAAGTATTGTTCTGAAAAAGTACAAGTATTGTTCTGAAAAAGTACAAGTATTGTTCTGAAACAGAAAATTTTTCTCACAAATTGAGAGCTTTTACGGGAAATTTGTTCTGAAAAAGTACAAGTATTGTTCTGAAAAAGTACAAGTATTGTTCTGAAGCAGTGCAAGTCTTGTTCTGAAAAAGTACAAGTATTGTTCTGAAGCAGTGCAAGTATTGTTCTGAAAAAGTACAAGTATTGTTCTGAAGCAGTGCAATGGACAACATCGAGCCATTAGATGAGGCAGTTTACCTAATTTAAATTAACGAGCTTGTTAAGCAGTACTTGCGCAAGGTCATGAAGCCCAAGGTCAAGTTCACCACTATTTCTGGAAGGGCTGCCTTGACTCTCGAGATTTCGACTGGAATTCCAATTCAAATACCAGACGGGACAGCCTACGATGGCATAAAGCAAGCAAAGAAAGAAGCTCTTCTCAAGTTCTTTGCCAAGCGTCCTTGGATACTACTTCCAAACAGAGAGAGTCCAATTCCACGAATTATACAAATTCTCAGAGCACTGTTCCACTTCTCAGGACAACCGTTCTTCATAACCTCAGAAGGCGACATCCAACCAGTTCAGTAAACCTTAACGTTTAACTGCACTTTTTTATGTTTTTTGTGAAAGTGTCAAAAATAAATTGTTTTCATGAGTTTTCTACGATGTTAGAAAACGTGTTATTTTCTAATATCTTCACATTCAATACTTTTTCAGCACTTTTCCGTAGTTATATATGAAAGACAATTCGAGATAAAAGTCATAGTACAATGGAATAATATGTTGCACACCATTTGTTGTGAACCAAACTTGAAAGTCAGAGAAACTGTTACTAGGTGGTTCGTAGAATTTAGAAGCAAAGTCATAAAAGTCCTTACCAATACATAGAAAACTATTGTTGCTTGAACTGAAACTTGCATGACACATAACATTTTGAGGGTCAAACACGTTTCTATAAACTGTCAAATCTGCTGGTGGAAGTATAAATTTAAATGGACCATCTGGTGGTAATGGTTCGTTCTGGTTTAGTAACCGAAGAAATTGTGCCCAAGAACGTTTGTCTACTTTCCAATATAAAAACTCTGTATCTCTTGGAGGGTTAATTTCAATCTTTTGAAATGAAACGGTGGAGTTCATCTTGTCATATTCTAGTTTCAGATAGTATGTTCCATTTAGTAAAGAGTCGTATTTTTCTTGAAATTCCCAATAATATTTGTTCATTTGAGTTTGAAAGTCATTTAGAGTTTTCTCAAGACTTTCGTCTGAACGAACTGTAAAGATTCTCATTTCGTCAAATTTGTCTATTAGACCATCAGAACCTTTATACTGCCCATGAAAATATACTGCGAACATAAATGCGTTAGTTCTATTTGAAAACAAAACTCTTCTAAATCCTATTGCCTTTGCATCTGAAGGACTTTGAAGCCAACGAATTGGATAGTCAAACCTGTATGTTCGGGATGAAATTTCTTCATCTGAAATAGTCCTACCAGCATTTGTAAAGATATAGTCTAACGGTTTTGTATCTACTACTTTTGTTCTTTGTTTTTCAACCTGAAGCATTTAATATATGTAAAAATATATTGTTTTAAAATGGTATGCCATTTCATATTTCTCATCTAACAAACAAGTTTCCCAACGGTCTTCTCCAACAAACTCAGCGTACATTTCAAATAAAATAAAAAAATGTCACTTTTTTAAAAATAAATTTTTACTTCATGCAATGTTCACTAACATCGAAAGGCATGTCCATAAGACGTTCTTCTTCTAACCTCTCTAGTCTGTTTGGATAATTTGCACGTGCTGTTTCCAAATCCATTTCGTAGCGAAGACCAACAATTTGTCATAGACTTTTATGGGTCTTCCCTTCCTATATTTAAACTTCTTCGAAACTCTCCAACCATATCTTTGCAACTCTGCTTTTATTCTAGCAGATTTTCTATCCATTCTATATGGGGCATTTTTATAAAAATAAAAAATATTTTTTTCTTTACTTTACATAACCGCCTGCTGCCATAAGTCTTTGACGCCAACCCATACCAGCTAATGAAGGTTGACTTGGTTTAGTTTCCAAACTAAACTTTGGTTTTGGTTTATCTTCAGTTTTGGTTTTTCTTCTTCTATCGGTTTTTCGTCACTTTTCGGTTCCTCTGACTTTACCTCACCTGCAGGAACAGTTGTGTTGTCAACATCTTCATAAATATCATATGCCATTTGTTTTTGTTTCCTTTCAACTTTTTGTGTTTGTTGTAAAGTTTAGAATATTTCGACTCTAAGTCAATGAGATGTTCTATAATGAACTGTTGGTCAGTGAAGTAAACTTTTCCATCTGTTGTCTCGAAAGCTCCTTCAGACTTCAATATTTTATTTGTGAGAGTCTGTTTCTTTTTTGAGATACTAGCCGTTCCATTTTTATGAAAAGTGACTTTATAGTTAGGGTTTGTATTTCCAGACCTGGCACTTTCTATTATTGAATTTTTCTCTTCATCTGTAAGTTCTTTGACAGGTTTTGACAATGGTTCTGAACTTTTTGTTTGTGGTGTCAAATCTACCGTTTCAACTTCTTCGGTCATTTCATCTCAGTAAAAAAATTTAGTTTGGTTTGTTTTCAACTGGTTGTTGTTGTTTTTTAAGTCGGTCTAAAACTTCCTGAGGTATAGGAAGAACTTGACAAACACGTTGTGTAACTGCTGGAAGCCGACAAATCCATCTTGAACCCATTTGTCTCAATGCTGTATTGTTCATTTCATCTCAGTAAAAAACTTTACATTCCCCACGTTTGAGGCGGTTGAGGTTGGTTATTGTTTACCCATTGTTGTGCATGGTTATATCCTCTGTTAAAGAATCTTTCACCTTGGTCCATATAGTGTCCTGCTTGGTTATAGTAGTCATTTGCTTTGTTATAATAGTTTCCTGCTTGTCTTCCTACATTGTCCATCCATCCTTGAACTTTTCCTCTTTTTCAGGATTTGGAATAAGATTTGTTGCATCTCGTGCTACATCCCAACCTTTCTGTACAGTTTGTATAATAGGTTGTGCTTTCTCTTTAAGTATACCTAATGTACTCAAAATCTTCCTTCCAACTCCAAATACACCTCTGGCTATTGTTCCCACTGCGGGCAAAAATCTGGATGCAACTCCTGCTAATGCGCCAAATAAACCCATTTCTTATAGGATAAAAAATGACGAATCCAAACAAGGACCCCTATGTTTCTTAAAGCGACAAAGAAAGCACTCATGGTAAAAATCTTTAGTTCAACACCAAATGCTTGGTTTATGGATATCTTGGAAAACATTCCGAGAGTTAGAACAGATGGACCACCATACTGGCTAATATTTGTTGGTCAAAACACAAGATACTGTGAAGCCATACCATTATGGTCCAAAAATATTTTAGATGTGAAAAACTGCTTTGACAATATTCGTTGACAAATACCATCCAACAAAACTGACATCTGACTGTGAAAGTTCTTTCAAATCAGATGATGTAAAAAACTATCTGCGTTCAAAAAA